TTTTCACATATTATCATTATTACAGAATCATAATTGCATTGCTGATTACTTTCGTTTTTTCTTCCTATCTAGGCCGCTCTGATTAAGACTTCGTCTGACGCACGCCCACGAGTAATTGGCAAAAACTGTTGCAAGTTGCTCTTTGAGATTTTGTATTATTGCATTAGGAACTGTGGTTCTATATATAGATATATAAAAAAAAATCATAGAAATCAGGCAATTAATCATTAATAAAAAATTTAAAACCCGTCCCGCCCCTTAACCCATCGCAGACACAAGGGAGGGGGGGATTATTACCCCCTGACAAAATTTTTAAATTATTTAAAGAGTATGACTAAGTAAAAAGTAAAAAGACTTGAAATTTTAGCTACCAGCTTCAAATATTTAGGCGAGTTTAAGTAAAAAAAAGTTCATTTGAATTGCCTAATCTGAGCATATTAGTCAAATCCATGGATAGATTCGGTCAAACGAATTACTGATCAAAAACTTAAATTTTGAATTCTGGCTTTTCTTTGTAATCCTGAAGTTTCATATTTTCCAAGAAGCTTTTTTTTATACTTACATATTTATAATTATTTCAATAAATGAAGTATGAGAAGTTGTTAGTCTAAGATCCTACTTTTTAAACATATTGATCCCAGTACACTAATTGATCCCAAATTTTCAAAATAGGTTAAGAAAAATAGAAAATTTAATAAAAACCCAAGCACTGAAAGTATGATTTTCTAAATAACCCCCTCCCACCCTGTGCCAACAACTTATAAAAAATAGGTAAGCCTTAAAGCTGCTGCCCAATAACATTACCTACATAAAAACGCCCTAATTAAAAAACCTACTTATCAGCCTCTCCATGAGTTGTATTCAGGCTTTTTCTAAAACATTTTAAATTTAATAGTATCGTGTTAAAAATACAACAAACTTTCATACTTTAAAATATATATATATATATATATATATATATATATATATATATATATATATATATATATATATATATATATATATATATATATATATATAATATGTAAAATAAATATATAACAATTTTTATTATTAATTTTTATTCATTAATTAGAGTATAGTTTAAATACAATAATAATTGTTAATACAACAAAATTTATGCATATTTATGTTACCAAGTTTATAGGTATTGTGTTTTATCCTCCTCCGGCTAATTGCCATATAGAGGCCACATAACGAAGGCCCGCAAAGACAGGTTCGGCTCTCGAGGAGCGTCATAACCCGCTCTACGGACCAAGAGTAAAGTGAGTTTAGGAAGAACGAAGAATGTTAGAGTAAAAGACAGAAGAAGTCGTGTTAGAAAGATAGCATACAGAAAGCGGACAGGATTGCACACGATGTTAGAAGGTGCAATTTAATTAAATACTTATTAAAAAATAAGTATTTAATTTTCTTATGTTACCAAGTTTATAAAACTTTCATAAAATCCATAATATAAAATAATCATGATATAGCAACTATTTATATATTTCTTTAACAAAAATTAAAAAGATATTAGATTCTCAAACAGCATGTTCATTATAATGAACATGCTGTTTGAGAATCTAATATTTTAATTTTGTATCTAAGATCTTAATTTTTGTGGTTCGTTACGTGATTTAATTGCGCTAGTGACAATAAATAGCACTTGAGTGCTATTTATTTTCCCGCAATTCATAATGCCTAATGATTTAAATCACGTCACTCTACGACTCAATTTACTCAGAAAGTCACGCAATTCAATGTACACTCTGATTGCGAGAAAATTTTTTAATTCAACTAGATTTTTTTGGTAATAATTTAATTTTAACGTAAGGGACAGATTGTCCCGGGCGGCAGATTTCCAAGGGGCACCAAATAGAATAAAGGTATCTTGGAACAAAGGTCCTTTACCGATAATATAGGAGAATTTTGATAATTAAGAACGCCAATCATGTTGCTGTCCCGGGTGGCGAAACAGTTCTTGGCGGCATTTTATATATATATATATATATATATATATATATATATATATATATATATATATATATATATATATATATATATATATAAATTAAATAATAACAAATAGCTATATATATATATATATATATATATATATATATATATATATATATATATATATATATATATATATATATATATATATATATATATATAAATAGCTATTTGTTATTATTTAATTTTTTTACAACACTTTTATTTATATACATTCAATAAAAATAGTTTTTAATTATTTTGTAATTATAATATATTTTTATTTATTTCCATACTTATAATGTTGTCTAGTGATCCGGGTTTCAAAACCCACCACCGCTAAGTTTTTCATTTTTCAAAATAAATTAAAAAAATTGAAAATCTTACGAATCCTTTATGATACCCTACAGGATAATCACAGGATTTCTTATGATCTTATAGGATTTGCAAGACAAATAAAATCTTACGAATCCTTTAAGATATCCTGTAGGATAGTATAAGATTATATACGGTCCTATAAGACTCATAAGTTGTCTGTAAGATAGTCGACTAGTGCTTGGTTATTGAAATTTATAGTTATAAACATTTTATAATTTTTTTTACAAGTTTCATCGATAAAGTATAAATAAAATAGAATAATGATAGAAGCAATTAGAAGACAAAAAGCTTGTTGTCAAACCCAATATTAAGTGTAAAAAATTTTTATTAAATATGAATAATCATTAATAAACAACTAATAAGTTATGTTAATAACTTAACAACTAACTTATAAAATCAAAGAACCCATGACATCAGTTTCGCTTCTGAATCTTAAAAAATAGTGGCTAGTATTGACTTCAACACTACCTTTGGAAATTTAAGGTCAGTTTTATTTTGACACTGTTCGAAGTTCCTAATTTATTTAAATATATTAACTGTTAATATCTGTTAGAATCTGAACACTCAATGGTAATAGTTTCACGTCTACGGAAAAACACTACATATATCAAGGTTGTACTGTCATCATGTTAAACATGGTGACAGCAGAATTTTTGTACAACCTTGATATATGTAGCGTTTTTCCGTAGACGTGAAACTATTACCATTGAGTGTTCAGATTCTAAACACTTCAATATATCTATATTTTCGATAATTTTCATTTTGCGTTCTTTGTTTTTGATAATTATGCTTTTTTATAAAAAAAAGTGGTTAATGAAAGATATCTCTTTTAAAATCATAATGTTTTCTTCATCTTTGGTGTTGTCCATAAATAACATCACGCTTGACGACTACTTACTAAAGAGTTACGATGCTGTGACAAGGGCTGGGGGAAAAAGGGGGAGTCGAAAACGGCGTGAAATTTTTAAACATGATGATAGCAGAATTTTTGTACAACCTTGATATATGTAGTGTTTTTCCGTAGACGTGAAACTATTACCATTGAGTGTTCAGATTCTAAACACTTCAATATATCTATATCTTCGATAATTTTCATTTTGCGTTCTTTGTTTTTGATAATTATGCTTTTTTTTAAAAAAAAGTGGTTAATGAAAGATATCTCTATTAAAATCATAATGTTTTCTTCATCTTTGGTGTTGTCCATAAATAACATCACGCTTGACGACTACTTACTAAAGAGTTACGATGCTGTGACAAGGGCTGGGGGAAAAAGGGGGAGTCGAAAATGGCGTGAAATTTTTTCGGCGTTAAAAATCTGCGTGAAGTATTTTATGAACGTCCCCATAATTCAGTTCATGCTTGGTGTAGTTAAGGCAATTTTAGACTTACGATATTTGCTGACTACTACATATTTCTATTAAATGATTAGGTCTGTAAATAATGAAAAGACAAATAAATATTTAAATGATAAATTTTGCTGTTTATAGCGAAAAAACCCAGGCCGTTCTTTATTTTTTATAAAAAAAAATCTTACTAAAATCACGATTGATTGTCCAAATTTGAATAAGATTTAAAATAAATACATTTTTACGGTGAAATGAACATCATAGTTTAATAATATAATCTGTTCTGATTGTTTATTGACAACTGTCAATAAACAATCAGAACAGATTATATTATAAACTGTCAATTTTTTAAAATTGCCTATAAAATTTGTCTCTGATATATAAAGAATTAGAATGAAAATATCATCATTTAAAAATATAAACATAAGCTTTTTTATAATGAAAATAAACACTTTAAAAACACTTCAAATCTAATGTTTTTTTATTGGAATTAAATGATTTACTATTATAGATTTGTGTATTATATTAAATGTATGAAAAAAAGTTGTTTATTATTAATATGTAAACAAATTAAGTTGTGTCGGAACCACCCTCCAAACATGTGTCCGATACCACTCGATCATACCTCAATCACAAATACTAGTTTTAAAACCAATGAATTAAAGTTTTAAACGAATTTTTTTTTAATAACTATTGTAAATAAAAATGTATCTTTAATCATTAAAAAGTTATTAGTTTACATAAAAATTAGGTATATTAATATGTGAATCAAATATGATGATACGTCGCTCTTCTGGTGGTTGGAAACAAAATCTTGCCCTTCCACTTATTTGCTTCGGCATATTATGATAGGTTGGGGAAAATTTCGTGTCGTAATTTGTGAACGACTCCTTAGTTCTTTGTAGCCAAAAGGTCACGTGGTCTGAAACAGCAACCTTAATTGGCACCCTTATCAAAATTTCCCTTTATTATAGACGAATGACCTTTTTTTTATTTGGCGCCTCTTTGATACCTGCCTCCCGGGACAAATTGTCCCTTTTGCCCCCACCTCTCGACGGCACTGGTTCTTTGTAACCATTCTTTCTTATTTTACTTTCAAACTTCTGACTTAAAAATCCATACTTAAGTAAGTCATACTTATTCAAAAACATAAAAGTTTTTAGGCATTCTGATCGTAATTTCCGGGAAACCACGTTCTTCTCAAGTCTAAAGTTCCCGCTCACAAAAATTTGACAAAATTGTTTTAAAAATATTATTGTCCAATTTTTATAAAATAACTGTAAAAGTTTTATTATGAAGAAATTATTATATAAAAATTGGTAATCAATAATAAAATAATAATCAAAATGTATAAAGTAATAATTTTATATATATATATATTATATGTTTATATATATAATATATATATATATATATATATAATATATATATATATAATATATATATATATATATATATATATATATATATATATATATATATATATATATATATATATATATATATATATATATATATATATATATATATATATATATATATATATATTTGACAATTTGCTAGAGGATTGCAAAATTTTTTTAATCAAAAGTTCCAATTGTATCCCTACCATCATATTACAATAACCAAAACATTTACCTTAAGATTTAGTTTTGAACATGTTCAAAAGTTTAAAGGGCAATCAAGAAAGTTCTGAAGAACACTTTTGCAAAAATGTGACAGGAATTTTATCTGAACCCAAGATTATAAATGTTTTTAGGTGCTTTATCAACAGATGCATGAGTAATTTGGACGTATAATTATGGATCAACTTGTTTATTTAGGGTGATCATTAAACTCAAGAGATGTGTTAGAGAAAAAGTTATTTTCAAATAGTTCTGTTTTATACTTGCTTAGATAATATGATCAGATCCATTTAAGAGAAGTGAAATGCCTTTATTAATGACATTGTTAAAGATTTTCCAAAATGCAATATAAATTCTGAGGTTTAATACTAGATTTGATAATTTGAGAGTATTAGACTTAAGTATCAAATAGTACATTTTTGGATTGATTTCTTGCAATGATAAAAAAACATTTGTTTTACAGAGAGTTTTTCCTGTGGGGAAAAAAAAAACTGTAAGAAATTGTAGCTGCATAAGATAGAGAAAACTAAGTGAGATTTGACTTGGAACCATCAAAAAGGAAGAAAAGCTTCCATACCTGCCTAAATCCTGGATGTTATAAAGGAGGGATAATTATCAGCAGAGAAATGAAAGACATCTGTCCAAGAACCATCACTAAGAAAACAACAAAATGAATCTAACACTCAGGTAGTTGTATCTCAAGCATGTTGGAACCATCAATAAGGAAGGCTAGTCAACTGAGATTTTCTCTTTATGCCTAAAGTCTTTGCCTATTAAGCCAAGACAGTAGCCAGATCTATCTAGCCTTTACTCAACCAATAGCTTTATGGCAGAGGGTATTTTAAGTCTGAGTTAATTTCTCCTAGGCATTGTCTAGGAAATCAAATCATTTGAAACAGTAGGATAAAAGGCAGATGGTAATGGATTACATAATACCAGTAGCAGGGGCATCATGATGATCTTAATACCGACCTGACCTTTAAATAATGAGTTTAGTTAACCAAGACTTAGTGCAAGCATAAAAAAAAATGTTGTCATTGTTGTTGTTACTATTATTGCATACCTTTTAGTTATTATATATTTAATTTTTTCATTTTAATTAAGGAGGGGTATCCCGGGGATAACTCATGTAATTTAATAAATATATTTAGAATTGAAATCATTGTGATCCATATCAAATAATAGAAATTAAATTTTGTATTTTTATGTTATAGATTTTATAAATTTTTGTTTTTGTTTATGATTTGTTTTTCTATTTTAGTTAAGTTTTTTTGGAGCATGTCTGATAAAAACCAGGATCATGAACAACAAGTTGAAGAAATGTACAGGTTTATAAAATAATTCATTTAAAAATCTTTTTTTTAAGAGATATTTAAAAAAATTGCACCATTGTTTTTAACTATTTAAATACTCTTAAGTATTAATTATTTTTATATTGCATTATATTGCATATATGTATTATGTTGTATATTTCTTTGGAATGTTTATTCATAAAAACGTTTTGGTTGTATATATTTCATAAGTTTTTTATTAAATAAATATAATTTATAAAAATAGTTTTAAAATGTTTTTTAAGCTCTGAAGTATTTTTGCCTTACATTTGTAACTCGTTACCTACAGAATATAAATGCATCAAACATCCTGGAAATATTGTTGAAGGTGCGACATTAGCAGTAAGGTTTTTAGTTATTATTTTTTATTTCAATAAGTAAAAAAGTATATAGGGGAAGACGGGGAACATTAGACTGTTATATTCTTAAGAACTATTTGACGCTAATCACGTCATTATAGAATACGGTTGAATGAACTTAAGTTATTCTAATTATATTTAATTGATGTGTTATAAAATCTGTTTTGTAGATCTTGAATTGTGTTTGATTTAATATTTGATAAAAGCCGAAAATATTTAATATAGACTTATTTATTACGGTTTCACAACAATATTATCAAATATTCTTTATTTACATTATGGATGCAAAAATATTTAAAAAAGTACTATGCGACGAACCAAATGAAGAAGAGTATATATACTGGAAAAAAATGCTATCAATTTATTTAGATAAAGCTAACATAGACGAAGATTGCAAACTCCAAGTTTTATTCTTACTATCCGGTGTTAAAGCTTTCACAATAATTCAGGATACTACATCATTTGATGATGCAATCAAAATACTTGATAACAAATATCAAAAACGATCAACACCTATTATGATGCGTCACAAACTTCGCTCTTTTAAGCAACAAGAAGGGAAAACAGTCGAAAGCTTCATGAGTAGCCTGAAACAATTCACAAGAAAATGTCCAACAGAACCTCTAACAGCAGAACAACATATTAATTTACTAATTTGCGACGCTTTTGTCGCTGGAATTTACTCACCTTCTATTTGACAACGACTCCTCTAAGCTACAGAAGACAATATAGAGGCACTTTATAAAACAGCGCTAACAATGGAATTAGCCACCGAAGATGCTCTTAATTTGACAACAACCACGACAGCTAATACTACGCTACAAACTTTTGCCGCAAGTCGTAACCTTACGAAATCTCATTGTTACTGGTGCAGTAATGATCCACATCCAAAAATTAAATGCCCAGCAAAAAATTCCATCTGTACACTTTGTCAAAAAAGGGGCCACTGGGCAACTGTCTGCCTCTCAAAAAAACAAAATAAGACCTACACTAAAGCAGCAGTTGTTAAGGAATATCATGAAGAAAACGATAACGCAATAGTATCTACGGTCATAGCAGCAATCAATTCACCTGATAGACTAACTAACGTCACCATTAACAAAAATATAACACAGGCACTGATAGATACTGGCTCCGATAAAACGTTTATTACGTCAGAACTTCTTCAACATTGGAACCTTCCTTACAATAATCAATCTACCTCAAAAGTATCATTGGCAGATAATTCGACATTAAAAGTTAAAGGAATCTTCCAAGGCTCATTGTTATTAGCTTGCGAAAAATTGAAAGTGCAATTCTTCGTTGTAGACAACTTGGTAGCACCAGTAATTATCAGAATGGACGTGTTAACACAACATACCTCAATTACGATCAATTTTAAAGGGAATAAAGAGCCCTTAAAGTTCTGTCTGGCAACAAAGAGTATGAAGTGTACTACTTACGCATTGATACCTGGAGTGAACATTGACAAAATTAAGCCAGTCGCTACAACATCACGACGGGTTCCTAAAAATAACTCCTTCATAACAGACGAGATAAACCGTATGTTAAAGCAAGATATAGTCCAAGTGAGCCGTAGTCCTTGGCGTGCACAATGTTTTGTAGTATCATCAGGAAACAAAAACCGTCTTGTGATTAATTATTCAAATACAATCAATCTACACACTCCACTCGATTCATACCCAACACCTCGAATCGACGATTTGATACTTAAGATAGCTGCTCATAAAGTCTTCAGTACAATTGACCTCAAATCGGCTTACCATCAGGTAAAAATACGACCTGAAGATTACAAGCTAACCGCATTCGAAGCAAATGGCAGACTATATGAGTTTAAACGTTTACCTTTTGGTTGCACAAATGCTGTACCAATTTTTCAGCGGGTTATGGATGAATTTATTCAAAATAATAAACTAGAAAATACATATGCGTACCTCGATGATATAATTATTGGTGGAAAAGATGACCAAAAGCACGATAAAAATCTTAGCTGTTTCCTACAAGCTACTCAAATTGCCAACGTAGAAATAAACAAAGAAAAGAGCAAATTTAAAAAAACTCATATCGAATTCTTAGGCCATATCATCGAAAATGGAGCCTTAAAACCCGACCCTAAAAGATATGAAGCTCTTATAAATATGCCAGAACCAAAAACCTTAAAAGAATTAAACCGAATGATAGGTTTATTCGCCTACTACGCTAAATGGATACATAACTGTACCGAGTTTACTCTACCGCTTACTCAAACAAGAGACAACTTTCCAACAAAGGGCTTGACCCCACAGGCAAAAGAAGCAATTAAAAAGCTCAAAATTAAACTTGCAGAAGCTTGTTTAGCCTCCCCGAATTTCAAAGTTCCACTAACTATTGAAACAGATGCCTCTGACACAGCACTGGGAGGAACGTTACTTCAACTAGGCAGACCCGTGGCCTTCTTCTCAAGAACACAATCAAACGCTGAACGAAAACACGCAATTGTCAAGAAAGAAGCAGCTGCTATTGTAGAATGCTGTAGAAGATGGAAACACCTAATTAATTCAGTACCATACATCATTATAATTACAGACCAAAGATCCATTTCCCTTATTTTCAATAAACAGATTTCAACAAAAATTAAAAACGAAAAACTGACTCGATGGCGTTTAGAATTAGCAGATATTAATTATACAATTTCATACAGACCAGGAAATCAAAATATCGTAGCCGATGTCCTTTCTCGATGTTGCTCAATTCAAAACACCAATAAAACATTTTACAATATTCACTCCCAACTATGTCATCCTGGAATTAAAAAAATGATACATTATTGCAAAACCCGAAATCTACCTTACTCTACCACTGAAATTAAACAACTAATAAGCCAATGTACCACATGTAACGCACTCAAACGGCGCTTCTACAAACCTCCAGCTGGTCGTCTTATTCAGGCTACGAGACCTTGGGAACGCTTATCTATGGATTTTGTTGGACCTTTACAATCCACCTCAGCTAATAAATACATCCTCGTGATAGTAGACGAATACTCTCGCTACCCATTTGCATTCCCTTGTAAGGATATAACAGCTAACACTGTGATACAACACCTTCTCAGTCTTTTTTCATTATTTGGTGCACCATCATCTATGCATACAGATCAAGGAACACAGTTTGAAAGTATATTACTTAAGGTTTTCCTAGAAAGAAACGGTATCATCCGAACTCGAACTACTCCATATCACCCACAAGGCAACGGTCAATGTGAAAGAATAAATGGAACAATACTTAAAGCTATTAGTCTGGCCTAAAAACACTGAGTCTGGGAAAAGATAGATGGGAGGTAGCATTGCAAATGGCTCTATCCTTTATAAGAGGACTTCTGTGTACTGCTACGAACGAGACACCTCATCAGAGGATGATGAACTTTCAGCGTTCATCAATAATAGGTACAGTTCTACCAAACTTCTTAACAGAGCAGGATTTGACAGTTTTATACAGACGTCAGATACGATTAAAGGGAGATCCACTTGTCGACAGAGTTCAACTATTAGAAACAATATCACCTCATTTCGCACGCGTGAAACTTCAAAATGGAAAAATTGATACAGTTTCAACAAAAGATCTTGCTCCCCTACAAGATAGAAATCCCTTATTAGAACCAGTCCAACAACACCCCGAATGCTCGAACAACAACGAAATTGTAATTAGTAACAACAACCACAATTCTGGAAATAGAAAACAAGTTGAATTAAATGATACTAACGAAGTAGTTTCGAACCTACTGCATCCGTTTGGGAATCCAATAAAAGATAGCTTCTCTTATGATCAATCAACTACAACAGTACCTGACCAACCATCTATTCAAAAGGTTATTACTCCTGACACACAACCTAATATAATCTCACGAACAGGACGTACTATTAAAAGGCCAAAGTATCTCGACGACTACCTTCTTTCTTAGAGTATTATTCAAAAGTAAGCCGTACTAAAATTTTCTTAAAACGGAGAAGACTGTTATATTCTTAAGAACTATTTGACGCCAATCACGTCATTATAGAATACGGTTGAATGAACTTAAGTTATTCTAATTATATTTAATTGATGTGTTATAAAATCTGTTTTGTAGATCTTGAATTGTGTTTGATTTAATATTTGATGAAAGCCGAAAATATTTAATATAGACTTATTTATTACGGTTTCACAACATAGACCATGGGGAACATTCGACTTTTTCAAATATTTCCTAGCATGATTAAAATTACCACTTAAAATTTTTACACATATTTTGTCTGTTTATGAGCTATCGTGGGAAATATGTATCGATCCATCTTATTAGTATTAGTACTTATGTAGAAAAAAATCTAATTATTGATATAAAAGGTAATTTTTTTATGTTTTAAATTATCTGCAGAGAAAATCTTTTCCAATTTCAAGCTCCTTAAATTTTTTGTTTATTATTTAATGATATCTTAAGTTAAAACCTTTGTGTTTAGTTTGCTTCAAAATATTGATTTTGGCTTTTAACAGCGTTTGATTATATATAACATGTGTGGGGTACATTTGACCTACCTAGCCGGGGAACATTCGACTGGTGCTTGAAAATACCATGATAATTTATTTCTCTTATCTTCTAGATGCCTTGAAAATATGTAATGAAAACAGATAGAAATAAAAGAAATGGAAATGTGGTAATGGAAACAATTATTAGTATTTTCAATAATTCACTGTCTGAGCGACAAGCCCTAAAAAGATTTCATGCCCAGATATCACAAATAAAATCCTAAAGGAAGAATCAAGTGAAAGTCTAGGGGTAATAGGTACACCATTATAAAATAATTTACCACCCTTATCTACCAATGAAACACATTTCTCCTAACAAGTGGTGGTGGTGGTGATAAGTGTAAAAGATAGTGTAAAAAATATGCTAAAAGATGTCAGTACTATGAATTTAGTAGCTTGGGTTTTTACAACTTTGTGAAACAAATAATTCTCAACTGATAACTCTGG